AGAATCCTCTAGAATGTTGTTTTCGAAAAGATAAATACTTAAGAATTTTACATTGGATAAAACACTTGTTTTTCAATGATTTTAATTCAGATAAAATTAGAATACGTACGAAAATTCGATTGACCCAATCCAATTGGAAAACGACAGAATCATCGCGCTGACGATAGTCCTATCGCTTATTCTCTCTCTCTCTCTCTCTCTCTCTCTAGTCTTAGCCTAAACACATCCCAACACCTTCTTGATATCATACACCATATCTTACGAGCCTTGAATACTCCACGCCAAGCTCGTAGTTGCCTTCGACCTTGACGTGAAAGGTTGATAGTTCTGAGGGTTTGGTCCCAAATCTATATTTCAATTATTTGATTTATTTGGTTTATTTGATTTAATCTTTCTTGAAGTTACTAACGTGTGTATTGTTTTGATAGAAAGAAGTACGAGGCATCAAAGTAAGTAATTCGATTACGTAATTATTCTCTTGATATAGAAATCATACTTAGAATATTTAAATTCCTAGTTTCATGTTAGGATGTTGATTTTGATTCCTAGTATCATGTTTAGGGTGTTAATTAATATTTCTAATGGCATGCTTTCTAGTATCATGTTTAGGCTAATTCTTTAATTAAGATTGTTATTAGTGACATGCTAGGATTTGTTATTAATCCGTTTAGTGTCATGCCTAGGATCTTGCTATTAATAATGTTTTGATTATGATGATAATTGTTGTGTCAATTTATATGTTCCTTGATTGTTCATGATTCATTGTGATTGCTTGGTCACGCCCTCTTTTGCAGGTTTAGGGCTAATATGATTTTAATTCATGTGATCACCAATAATATATTTATTTGTGCATTGATAATCAACCAACGTAGATTAAACAGGTTTAGGGCTAACTTATTGTGTGTATGTTGATCGGAAAGCGCACATGAATATCATAAGAATTAATTAGAGGCCGATTTAGGGCGGGTACAATCTCTATTAGGTTGGATTCGTACCATCATCCCCAAATATCCAGTCATGGTTCTGGACCACTATGGAGTTAGCGATCTCCGTGATCGTGAATGGGGTGTAACCTTCACACCCGTGAACGGTTTACAAGTTCCTAAAACTTGTTGGCGACTCTTTTATCTCTAGCTTCCTTCCCTTTGGACGCCACCATGCTTAAATGCATGATCACAGTGGGGCTCAAAGTTGATTTTTGAAAATATGAGGGGTGAGGTACGGAACCTTAGAATTGAAGCGCCGCGGAGATTGAAAACCTAGAAATTGCCGTGTCACGGCAAATTAACCGTGACGCGGCGAAAATTTCCGTGACGCGGCAAATGCTGCCGTGGCGCGGCAGATTTTGCCGTGTCGCGGCGGATTTTACCGTGTCGTAGCATTTTTGTTTTCTTGAATTCCGTCTAAATTCATTTTTATCTTTTGCTTAACAATTAAGTACGTGATATTTAGGCGTCGTTTCAGAGTTCCGGACCAATTTAGGATTTGATTATTTATTAATCGGGCTTAATTAATAAATAACGAAATGGATTAAAAAGGGTTTGGGCTACAATGTGAGTTGGACAATGTTCGAATAAATGTTTGGACTGATTTGTTGACTTATGTGTTTGACTGAACATGGATTTAAAGCACTCTCGAGATTAAATACTCGACCCAACCAATAATGGCGGTGAAAGGTTGTTCATCATCGGGTTTGGTTTTGGGGAGACATTTTTAGGTGTCTACAGAAGCCCTCACTTTGACTGAGTTTGTAAAAACGTCAGTTTCGAAAACGATAGTCAAAGTAGTCGATTGGGACAGAGAATGATTCAGAGCATTCTGGGATTCTAAATCACTCTGTATACGTTGATACCTGCAGAAAAGCGTTAGTTCCACAGATAAAAGAGTGAAGAGATAGAATGCGTATTTGACACCGGTACATGGCAACAAACACGTTTAGTAGTTTTCTACGTAGACTCCTAAGCCTCGAGCAGCCTACTAAAGATGGATGATCATTGAGTATTTGAAGAATGATGATGGTTCGATTATCCCCGAACGTGGGCAGTAGATGGTTCGCTTATCCTCGAACGTGGGCCGTATATGGTTCGCTTATCCCCGAACGTGGGCTGTGGATGGTTCGCTTATCCTCGAACGTGGGCTGTAGATGGTTTCTTACCCCTAAACGCGGATTGTAGACGGTTCGCTTACCCCCGAACGCGGGCTGTAGACAGTTCGCTTATCCCCGAACGTGGGCTATTGATGGTTCGCTTATCCCCAAACGTGGGTTGTAGATGGTTCGCTTATCCCCAAACGTGGGCTGTAGATGGTTCGCTTATCCCCAAACGTGGGCTGTAGATGGTTCGATTATCCCGGAACGTGGGCTATTGATGGTTCGCTTATCCCTGAACGTGGGTTGTAGACGGTTCACTTATCCCCGAACGTGGGGTATTGATGGTTCGATTATCCCCAAACGTTGGCTGTAGATTGTTCGCTTATCCCTGAACGTGGGTTGTACCTGAGACCTGCAAAATGGGATTTGCCAAAGGACTCGCATAAACTGTGATTGACTTGACCAACTAACTTGACCAAGCTTGACTTGACACGACATAACATGTGTATGACTTGTGACTGTGTGTGATTTGAGTGTGTGTGCAGACACAAGCAAATGAAAATGCAAAAGCAAAAAATTTTCGTCATTTTTTTCATGTTTTGTCATGAGTGGAGAGTACTGACTTTCTCCCGAGAAAGAAAGATGTGAAAAAAGGAGTAAGAGTTTTTGAACTTCCCTCAATAAAAATTTTGAAAAAGTTTTTGAACTTTCCCAAAAGAAAAAAGATGAAAAATAGAAGAAGTTTTGTACTTTCTTGCCAAGAAAATTTTGAAAAAGTTTTCGAACTTCCTCAAAAGAAAATTCATGAAAAAAGGAAGAAGTTTTGAACTTCCTCAATGAGCAAAGCGAGATGAATCGCTTGGATTTTCTTCTTATCAAATAGTGTATGCATGATGAATGTTTGCAGGCCAGGAGGCTAAGGACAATTACATCATGTGACACGATCAATTAATGAACTTAGGTCATGAATAATCGTAGTTTATTGTCGATGTATGTTGCTTAGGTCAGGGAGCTATAGTGTATGAAAAAAAACAATCTTGAACGTCGCTTAGGTCTGGAAGCTAAGCACATATACAATGGTGATTGTTGAGTAATGCATGAAATAATGACAGGTGCATAGGTCAAGGAGCTAAGCACAATATGTAATGTATGCAATAGTGAATGTTGCTTAGGTCAGGGAGCTAAGCACATCTTGCATGAATCTTGATAAATGTACCTAGGTCAGGAAGCTAAGTACATTTGTGATAATGCTATCGAATGATGATGACTTTGTTGGATGCTTTTGTGAAAAATAATGAAGCGTACGTGGTGTTGCAACAAGATTTCATGATAAGGAGTTCCTAAGGGAAGGAGGATATGGCAATATATGTGTGAATGAAGTGTGTGAAAGTGATACTAAGGCTGGCTGCAAAGGCTATAGTGATGGAAATAGACGTGAGAAAAGTCAAAGATGATGACTCTTTAGGCTAGGTAAGCTAAGTGATGTGGGTCTAAGCCCCCATGTCTAGCTCTAGATGGATAGGGATGAGCGTTGGAAATCTCTTGACGCGATCATATGTGAATGTGGCCGCACCTCATGTGAGGTTGCCTACGTATCCATTAGGAATCAGGCCAAACGTAGCTCTAGCCAAAATTTGCACAAGTGTATGTATACCTCATAGAGGTCTTTCGAGGGTTGTAACGTGGTTAAGCTAGTGGTTTGAAGAAGAAGGGGTGAAAGGCTCTAGACCCGAGAGAAGCCCCCCAAGATGTGTAATTGTGTATTTGAAAATTTTTGAATTTTGCAAGTTTATTTTTCACATTTGTATTTTTTTTATACTTCTTTTTAATCAATGTGAGAAATCGCGGATAATGCGGTCCATTACTCACTTAAAATTCATGTTTCTCAAGCACGATACCAAGCACTCGATGAGAGACGCAATTCGAGACGTGTTCATATCAAAGACATTGGAACACATGCCCTTAGACATTGTTTTATTATTGCTTTGCCTTTTCTTTTTTTTTTTACTTGCTTTTAAATGTTACACAAATCACACACCTTCCCATCCCAAGGTTAGGTGGATGTGGGTTGAAGAAATGAAGGTCAAACGTTAGACGAGGCTCAAAATGGTTAGTGAAGAAATGGAACATATATTTGAATGGTTAAAGGGGAATGAATGGGTTGAAAAGATGCCTCAAATCATTGGCATACCTTGTGTTTGGTTCGGCAATTAGGTTTTTTTTTTAATAAAGAAAAAATAACATGATTGAGATGTAAAGGAAATATGCTCATTTTATTTATGGAAAAGGTGAATAAACATATAGAAACATATAGAAATTCAAAATGGGAAACCTATGCTAGACAAAAATGTGGAAAAAGGAAATGAATAAAGAAAAAATCATGAGATCTTGCAGAAGGACTCGTTGTGCGCCTTGTTTTCACTACTTCTTGCCGCCTGGAGGGACAGGAAGTTTGTTAGCATCAACCAAATCTTGAATGGCATCTTTCAGATTCCAGCACTGTTCAGTAGAGTGACCTCTTCCTTGGTGGAACTTGCAGTGAACATTAGGGTTCCACTTGGCACTCCTTTGTTCAGGTTTTGGCTATGGGAATGGTCCAATAGATGTAATAAAGCTTTGACTGTAAAGGCGATCAAAGGCAATAACGTATGTCATTCCCAAAGGAGTGTAAGTTCTCCTTTTCTTTTGAAGGGGAGTATCAAGAGCTAGCACTTCATTGATATCGACTTGGCTTACATTGTTGGTAGTATTTTTGGGCTTAGAAGACGAAGAAGAAGGAAGTTCGTTCTTCTTGTTTTTCCTTGTGTTGTTACTACCAACAGTCTTTATTAACTCGTCCTTAATATTGATGTCAATATCGTATACAGCTTCAAAAGTGTTCAATGGCAGGAATTTGAGATGTTACATGTACTTGTGAGTCAGATTTTGGATAAAGAGACGAACCATCTCCTTTTCTTTGGGAGGATCCACCATTTGCGCAACTGTTTCTCTCAACCTACACAAATAGGCAGTGAACCCTTCATTTTCTTTCTGCTTCAGGATAGAAAGCTCACGTTTGGAAGTCTTGTTTTGAATGTTACACTTGTAATGATTCATGAAACTTTCAATGACATCTTCCCAAGTCGTAGTATACTTGGAATCTAGAGAATAGAACTATTCATGCTCTAAAGAGAGAGGGAACACTGTAGGGAAGAGTGCCCTATCCAATCCCTTGAGAGCCATGGTTATCGAGAAGGCCTTCAAATGAAACATTGGATTTTCAGTAGGTTTGAACTTAGGTATGTCGGTAGTGGTGAACTTTTCAGGAAGCTTGTCCTTTACACCCAAAGCAGTGGAAGGTTGTTCCACATAGGTGAAGTCCTCAGAAATCTTTCTCACTTGCTCTTTGATCTTATCAACTGCAGCAACTGTGACCTTGGTTTGCTCTATGAAATTGATTTGGGTAGTGAGCTTTTGCATCATGGCAGTAAGAGCCTCAATGGACCTGTGGATTCCCTCAATATCTTCCTTAGTGGCCATGAGTTGAAAATAAACTAGAGATGGAGATCAGCTTTGTGGAGACGCTTGTGGTGGTTTCCTTGTATGCCTCTTAGGTATAAGAGGTTGTTGTGGCAGCGACTCGAATCGTACCAATCTACCCCTGCTTCTTGACCAAGTACTGCGATATAAACCAAATTCACTTAATAGTTTGACTGAATGTTCAAAATAGGGAAGGAAGGGGGAAAGATAGACATTTGCAAACGGGTAAGAAAAAAACTCCATTCGTTTTTGTGACGAAAAAAGGAGACACATGCATGAACTTAGTGTACGATCATATGATGCACGACTCGAGTCAAAAATAAAAAAAAGTGTGTAGACTATACTTGACTCGTGAGTGATTAGGTGATGTTATAAGACTCACGGTATGATCGCATGGCTAGACATGTAAACAGTGTCAAAACGACTGACGCGTGGACAAAAATAGCACGAAAGACTAAAACAGGGACTGGCTGGACTTAAACCTGGGCACTGTGGCACGACACTACTGCCGTGACACGGAAAACTACACCGTGGTGCGATACAATATGCCGTGGCACAAAGCTGATTGCCGCGTCACGGCAATACTGCCGTGGCACGGTAGTCAGCTCCAGGTTCTGTTTTGCGCGTTTTTTCCAGTTTTTTATTTTATTATTTTAGTGTTTGCGCTAACTAGTAAGTGATTACGGTCCATTGACATTAGTTAGTCATAAAAATAAACCACCATAGATAAAGAATGTTTTTTTAAGGTTAGGATTAAAACAATCAAGGATGCACATGTAGAGCCTGAAGTCATAATGATGCAATGAAAAGTTTGCAACCTAAGGTCAAGTTCTACGTTCCACTATGGTCAAGTTTATTTGGTGTGAAAAGGGTACCATGGTTAAGAGTTTGGATGCGTTAGCAAGGCAACCTCCTTTGAGGGTGTATGCCAACAGGCGGCTCCGCAAGTTCGTGATTAAATCGAACTCGACTCCATGGTTTGGGTGGATTTAATGACTCAGATGAACCCTTATTATCATGAACTTTTTCGGGATAGAGCTTAAATCCCCCGGGATTAAAACGTATGTAGAACACATACGGTTTTTCAGAAAAATCGAAGGAAGCTGACTGTGACAAAAAAAAAGCCACTTGAAAGATTTCAAAACTGTCGCGACACAGCAGGAATTACCGTGTCACGGTACAGATTGTCGTGTGACGGTGTTGTGTGCCGTGGCACGGCGATTTTGCCGTGGTGCGGCAGTCAGGAAATCAGACTGGCACCTCTGTTTTTTCGTTCGCGATCACGTTATTCAACTAATCCTACGAGGCGAATCTAAATACGACGTTGAAACATCGATACATATGCGAAAAAAATGCCAAATTAATCACAGGAATACGATTCAAGAATCTTTCAAGTCTCATCCACTCATCTCAATTAAATACCGATCACTCCAATCGATAAATAACCAAGAATCCTCCCAAGTGGAGTCGCCAAATTGTAGGCGTCATTCGAAGCGCGCCTACGTTAAGTATGTGGTGAATATGCTTGGCACTCCTAGGAAGTGGGAATTGACATATACGATTAGGGACAAGATTAGGGACAAAGTAAAGTAGGGAGCCGCCAACAAGTTTTTAAGGAACTTGTAAACCATTCACGGATCAATATAAGGCAACCACGATAAAGGGACAATGATAGGCAACAACGATTGACCCGTGAAGGTTACATCCCATTCATAATCCATGAGATTACTAACTCCATATGGTTCGGAACCACGAAAGGAGGATCGGGGATGATGGTACAAAGTGAGTCATGGAGTCACATTCTCCCGTATTGGCCTCTACTCGATTCTTATTGCGAAAAGTAATTCCTGCGATTTCAAAGGCATGCAAACAAAGATTCAATTTTCTCCAAACTAATATTAGTCTAAATTGGTTGAATATTAATGCAACACATAATTCTAAAATATTGTGATCACTTGATTAAACAACAAGATTAAAGAGGAAACTAAACCAGTCATCCAAATTATTAGGCGTTATATTAAATTACATATTCCCTTTAAGATGAAATATGGTGATCATTACAATAATAAAATTATCATTAACATTGGAAGCAATTCAGTAATAATAATGTTAGTCAAATCAAATCATAATAATAAACCTAATCATGATACTTTTTCCGGACGTGGAGGCAACCTCTTCCTCCTCTTCTTCCCCATCCTCTTGTGCCGTCTCCTCAGCTCTCTCACCCTCGGCATCGGAAGCCGTCTGAGATGAGCCAGAGTCCCCTTGGGACCCGTTTACTGAAGAATTGGACTCCTCACCGGACTCTGTAAGATTGAATCACCCAACGTTCTTGGAGGGCCGGGTGGGTGATCAAATACTTCATTAGTCGGCACTCTAATTGTGCCGTCTCCTTCATTAGCAGGGCCTTGGGCCGTCCTTTTAGTCTGAACCATGGTGTCCTTCACAAAGATAGACACGATCGAATTCGGGGTTAAGCAAGAGGGGGAGTCCAAGTAAGGAGATGCGGCACCCACAGTTCTAAATTCAACCGTACCAGGAGACCGGCTGACAACTGTCCTAGGCCATGTCATGTGTGCTTGTGAAACCATTTGAAAAATGCAAAAAACAAGCGGCACAAATGCAAGACATAATGATAAAAGAAGAGTATAGAGAGAGACAGTTACCTCTGAAAATTTGTAGAAAAGTTTGTGAAAAGTGGCGACCGAGTGCTAACAAACGGCAATATCAGACGGCGGAAAGTTAAATTCTCTCTCTAAAATCTCTCAGCTTCTCTCTTTAGACTTTTTAAAAACGTAAAAAGTGAGGGAAGGGTAAATCCTCTATTTATAGAGGGGTAAAAGCATGGGCATCCTTATAATTCCAAAGGGAAGGTGAACGGTTAAAATAATCATCACTCTCTAAACACCTGACATGTGTCACAAGCGCCACGTGGCTTGCCACATCACCCCTGTGAGGGGCAAATGTTTAAGGTAAAAATTCCCTAAATACGTGGAACAATGAGGAAGTTACACGTGTCACCCTAGGAAGCGTTCCGAGGGAACCAACCAGAATAAGACATGTGGCACCCCTCGTCATTGGGAAAGGTGGCGGCCTTCAACGGGCCCAAATCTCGATGCGCCGTAAAACGGCGCAGCCCAAAATCCTAGGTTAAAGTGACCTAAGGATCGAAGGACACTTACTCCCATGCCCTATAAATAGGGACATTTATTACCTTGGGAAAATTAATTACATAACATCATTTTCAGACACGATTCATCTGTTATTACAACAGCAAAATCTCCTAGATCTCGGGATCCGAGAAGAGAAAGTTTTACTTTCCACATTTATTTCACTCCGTCTGGTACTAACTTGATCGTCGGAGGCGGAACTCTGAACAACCGGAGCTTCCGTTTATTTCAGGTACAAGCACGCGTGGATCTAGTCTTGGAGCTATAACTCTTCTAAAGGACACATCAGGAAACCCCAAAAAAAGTAGAGTTTAGTAGTTGGAGTAGCTTTTGTGAAAAGTAAATATTATTAGCTTTTGTGAAAAGCTAGGTAGTTGTTGAAATTTTTCTTCTGTATTTTTATAATTTTACAGCTAATAGCTAATCAACATCTACTTTACCAAACACTTACACTTAATTATTTATTTTCACAGCTAACAACTACATATACCACTAACAGCTACTTCACAGCTAACAATTATCTCTACAGCTACATTTTGCCGAACACGCCCTTAGATTACACACAAAATAAAAACCCCAATATACACATATCTGACAAACGAATAAAAAAACTATCAATTATACGTCAAACCCTTGATCTCCAAGACCAATAGTAAAAATTCGAAGTAAAGTAACCACTAAGCTACGCTTCTACATCATTCTATTTTCACACAGATATTTCTTTTGACTTTCTTTTTCTTTTTTTAAAAAAAAATTACAAAAAACTTTTTTATATTTTTTGGGAGAGAAGAGGAGTTCCTATATTATTATTTAATAGGGCAAAAAGGAATTTTAAAGGAAGGGAATGTCCAAGGTATGACAATGGCAGAATTAACGGCGTGTCATTTTCATTTGCAAGTGGCTGATGGCTTGGGCTTCACAAAGGTCCACATTGAATGTGAGGCAAACAATGTGGTTGTGGGAATTCGGAAGAATGCAGTTGGTTTTGCTCCATTGTTCATGGTGCTTGATGATGACACTAAAATTCTTTAAATTCTTTGTCTATCGATGGTTTTTTGATATTACATGTAAAACGGGCAGGAAAACTTTACCTTACATAGCTGTAAATTTCTTTTTTATTAAGTTTAATTTACATATGTCATCACGTATTTGGTAAATAAATAAGTTTTAATTTTAATTTTATTTTACAAAATGATTATTAGTAATTAACTATTTTTAACTTTTTTCTCAAAAAAAAAAAAAAAAAAAAAAAAAAAAAACCAAACTCAGCCCCACCGTGACCCCAGCCACGCACCTCCCCGCCCCTACCATCGGCCCAGACGAGGCCCACAGCCGCCAGTCCCACCGCGACTAGACCCAGCTCCCCTGCGTCGTTCGCCGACCTTCCCTTACCCCCTTCCGTCGCCA